AGAGAGAGCGAGAGCGAGAGAGAGAGAGAGAGAGAGAGAGAGAGAGAGAGAGAGAGAGAGAGAGAGAGAGAGAGAAAGAGGTGTATCATTGCACCTGGCAACAGCTGCAACGTGGTACGACGTTTTTCATTACTATAATGATATACCCCTCATTGTGAAATTTTCTGACGTGAGTTTGACGTCAACGATAACAATCGTAGCTGTCGGGGGAAATACGTGCAAACGCGACGAAGTCTATTGTAGATTGGGAAAGCATTGTAGAGTTCGCTTATTATCAAATTAAAGTATATCGTAGAGTTGGAGTGTAGTATAGAATGGGGGGTGTATTAAATAATGAATAAGAGTATATGACGCAAACTGTATACGCTTCTGTATACTGTATTTCTGTATACGTAACTGTGATCCTGGTTTAGGTCTCCGTACATACAACATCCTCATCCTCCTCCTCTTCCTCCTCTTTCTCCTCCGCCTCCTCCTCCTCCTTCTCATTCCCCAACTGCTCCTCTTCCTCATCCTCCTTCCCCCAACTGCTTCTTCTCCACCTCCTCCTCTTCCTTTTCCTCCTCCTCTTCCACCTCCTGCACCTCCTCCTCTCCCCCTGCACCTCCTCCTCCTCTTCCTTCTCTTCCTCCCCCTCCTCATCCTCCTTCACCAAATGCTTCTTCTCTTCCTCTTCCACCTCCTACACCTCTTCCACCTCCTCCTCCTCCTCCTGCACCTCATCCTCCTCCCCATTCTCCTCCTCCTCCTCCTCCTCCTCCTCCTCCTCCTCCTCCTCCTCCTCCACCTCCTCCTCCTCNAGAAGATTCCTCAGGGGTGTATGTAGAGTTGTAGAGAGTTTATGTTTTATGTTATAACCTAACATTACGAGGGAATCCTTGACTTCAGGATCGTTCGTACCGAAGTGTAACGAGGAAGGCTACTATGAGAAGAAGCAGTGTCATGCCAGCACAGGTACTGCTGGTGCGTGACAAACATGGCAACGAGTTCCTGGAGTCCAGGGTACGAGACGACCCCAATTGTGGTGAGTGACGTATATAGAGCTGACGACTCGACAGGGCGGATCTAAGGGGGGGGAGGGGAGGTACCCCCCTTTAATTTCAAAATGCAATTCAATTTATATATTATATATATATATATAAGTAAATCTTTATGCAGAAAAACTAGCCCTAAAAATTGGGTCAAATTTTTTTAGGGTAGTTTTTTCTGATAAATGATTTACTTATATATTATATATATTATATAATATAATTATAAATATATATATTTAATTATATAATTCGTTATTATAACCCTAGAAATGGCAAAGAGGGTCCGCGGGCATCCGGGGGACGGCGATCTGATAAATTTTTGCATTCTAGATTCAAAATTACTGCTTAGCATGCTCTCGAGAATGCATCAATTTAAAAAAATTGGGGGGGGAGGTCCGCAGCCCTACGTGGCCTTAGGCAGCTTTTTCAAACACCAGAAAAATTAAGCAGGAAAAAGTGCCCTTTATTTTTTCCTGGACAGAACTGACAGACAGACAGACTATAGGTGTGGCACAACAGTAGAAGGCGTACATAGGAAGCAGGCCTGACAGAATAAGCATCCGACAGAAATTAATTAAAAACACTCGCAGTGTTTCGTCGCATACCCAACATACACTCTATTTCATGTTAAATAACTACAGATTCATGCTCTATACTCCGCTCTGTGTATAGTGGCCGAAGACGGACAGACTATAATATGACTATATGTAGTTCGTTGCTTGCTGTGTAACTGTATTAACAATGTTAACAACTCAATGTTAATAACTCAATGTTAATAACTCAATTATGTTAACAACTCAATTATAATAACTCAATTATGTTAATAACTAATTGTTAATAACGCATCGAATGACAAGCTCGTAGAACCAACGCGAGGTTCACGGCAGAGGATCTGCATCCTGTAGAGATGGTCCAGGGGTTCGCCTGTCCGCCACAAACATTTCACCATGTTAGCTATATACAGATTATCTAAATAGTAGATAAAGTGAATCATCAAGTGATTAAGAGGCGGCTCTAGCCAATCATTTGCGTGGTAGGGGGCTCTAAAAACAATGCTTGGCGACGAAGTGCCGCAAAGTCAACAATTTGTGCGCGTGGAAAACACCTACGAACTGGCCTAGCTTGATCGACCTGCAACAATATGCAACAACAATATGGAACAACAATATGCAACAATATGGAACAATATGTAGGGGGAGTGGTTATTCCGCGCGGACAGATAAATGAATTACGCACGCAAGTATGGAGTGATTGCGTAACCATGCGCGTAATTATTACGTCACTACGGTAACGACAACATGGCAGCTAATCTCGTCTGTTGTTCCTCTTCGCTCAGACGACTTTGACGAGAACATCCCTGCCGACCGGCAGGTGGCGCCACAGAGCGAGCTGATCGCCGACGAAGATGCCGATGAGGAAATCGAGGGTTCCGGATTCAACGAGTAGATGGCGCTGGCGGCAGTCGCGTGACGTGTACGTGCGGGGGTGACTTTGGTTCTGTAGTAGCCAACATTACCTCCGGAGATCTTTTGTACAGTGCTGTGTTTCTTTACCTATCATTTGTAACGAAATCTCGTAGCGATCCCCCTGGTAGGTGGCGCTGGCATCGGGCACATTTTCAAGAGAGCTGAGAGGGCGCCACTGCACGCGGTTTATTATGTGTATATGAGTTTATGCGCCCCGTGCAAGAAATCTCGCGATGTGTATACGTAAAGAGAGAGAGACAGAGAGACAGAGAGAGAGAGAGAGCGTGCCACACGAGAATGTGTGTGAAGCATGTAAGAAGAGAAAATGTAAGGATTTTAGAAACGTATAAGTACGAGAAACCGTATTATATGTCCTATGCAGATATATCAAGGTCACTTTTTCTTTTTGAAGGTGGAATGTGTTTAGAATTTAGCACGATGAGTGTAGTCCCCTGTTGTCACGCGATTCATTCCATTTTGATATACGGAAACCAGATGCATTCCAAGCCGAGCACGTAATTTTATCTAACCTACACGTAGGAGTTATAAATCATGATGTAATTATATATTTTCGGTTCGTATAACGTGTATCATTGGTGATGTTAACATTCAATCTGTCATCTTATGATACGTGGGAGAGACCACATATATACTTAGACATAAGTTTACTATACTAATCTGGCAAAAACTCTAGTCTGAGGGGACGCTAAATTGCTTGCGCCTATTTACCACGGCAAGTTCCGGTATCCGTGTACAGAGACGCCCCGACTTACGAACAAGTTCGGTTCTGAGCGGTCATTCGTAAGTCGATTTGTTCGTAAGTCAAACATATGTACGTACGTATACAGTATTGTGCAGTAGTGTAGTATATGCACGTGTAAACATCGAGTAACCTAGAGGTGTACATTGTGTAAACATATACGTGAACACAGGAGTTAGCGAAAGTCAAAATCAAGGGGGCGGTTGTGTCTTTTTATTCACCAATATTGAGATTATACACTAATGGACTTAAGGGGAAATTGTTCGTATCATCGAAAGTTTGTAACTCGAATATTCGTAAGTCGGGGAGTCTCTGTATTGGCGCTTACTTCTATATCGATCCTAAACATATATGTGTGTTTACATGTTGTAGTAAATAATAATAATAATTAAAAAATAATTAACTACGAAATATCCCGAGTGAGCCATCACCAGTCCATGCAATAATAAGTTTAGGTAGAGAGATGTAAAGGAGATATAGTTGTAGGTTTACTTTAAAAAAAAGACGTAGTAGTTGAAGATGTTTTTCAGATAACGTCTAGAGTTGCAGCCATGTTTCGTCACGTTTGCAGCGATAGGTTTGAACGTTGCTTTCTCCGTTTCATCTATTAAAGTGATTACGTCACCGTAAATAGTAAAAGTAAAAAAAATATTTCCACTTTTTCACAAAATGTAAGTAATTTTGTTCACTTTTATGGTTAAATTGCTGCATTATACTTCCTATGTTACTATATTGTTCGATGTAAACATACGCTCGTGACTCATACATAGCCCATAGCAGGCAATTAATGTCAGGATCATAATATCAAATCGTCCAGGTTTTTTGGATTTTTAACTAGTTGAGAAAAAATCTTATCAGGTCTTTTAATGTAAAAAAATTGCAACAAAATTTTTACAAACATACCCCATAGAAATTTCGTGACGTAGTCAATTTAATGCTTGGAACCATCCCTCCAGCTTAATAGCATTTGGCATGATAAGGAGGATCAATTAACGCTGTGATTAACTACAGCTTAATGTTATCCTCCATCCGCTACCAATAATTCAGACAGACAGCTTGACTGCGTATGACTGACTATATTAATGGATAAATTCACAGAGAGTGGAGAGAGTGGAGAGAGTGAGAGAGAGAGAGAGAGAGAGAGAGAGAGAGAGAGAGAGAGAGAGAGAGAGAGAGAGAGAGAGAGAGAGAGAGAGAGAGAGAGAGAGAGAGAGAGAGAGAGAGAGAGAGAGAGAGAGAGAGAGAGAGAGAGAGAGAGGAGGTTAATGGGGAAAACAGGGAAAGAGATGATTTAGAAAGTAGATTAAAATGGGGGAAAAAGAAATGGGAAGAGAAAGAGAAGAGAAGAGAGAAAAAAGAAAGAGAGAGAAAGATAGATAGAGAGCGAGATAGATAGAAAGAGATAGAAGAGAGAGAGAGAGAGAGGAGAGAGAGAGAGAAGAGAGAGAGGAGAAGGAAGAGAGAGAGAGAAAGATAGAGAGAGAAAGATAGAGAGAGAGAGAGAGAGGGAGAGAGAGAGAGAGAGAGAGAGAGAGAGAGAGAGAAAGATAGAGAGAGAGAGAAGGGATAGATAGATAGATTAGAGAGAGAGAGAGAGAGAGGAGAAGAAACACAGAGAGAAAGATAGATAGATAGATAGAGAGAGAGAGAGAGAGAGAGAGAGCGAGAGCGAGAGGGCGAGAGCGAGAGGAGAGAGAGAGAGAGAGAGAGAGAGAGAGAGAGAGAGAGAGAGAGAGAGAGAGAGAGAGAGAGAGAGAGAGAGAGAGAGAGAGAGAGAGAGAGAGACAAAGAGAGCTAGATAGGATAGAATTGAGAGGGTGAGAGAGAAGAGAGAAAGAGAGAGGGGGAGAAAGAAGAGAGGGAAGAAAGAATAGAGAGAGAGAGCGAGCGCGCGAGAGCAAGCCATTGTTTCAGTGTAACTTTCCGACACACCGATATCTCTCACTGACCCCATCCACACACTGCATTGCCTCGTCGATTCATACATTACTCACATAGCAGAGATAGATGACCCAGCACAAGTACACGATCAACGTATGAGCATGCAACCTAACAGGAGCACATTAACATGTTAGACTATTTATTACATGCTAATGTATTTCTGAATATGCACATGTTTGTTTCGTTAGAGATAATAACAAGAGCTGATAATACCTATATTATTAATTAGCTCTTGATAATAAGTATATGCACTCTTGGCCTTATATAGTCAGATCGTGCTGTGGTGTGGTTGGCATGGTAACAGTGCGCAGAGAGGATGGAGGGAGTTCGTGCCGAAATTACCTAACACTCACAGCGATGGAAAGTGTATAGATAGATGTATCTATAGTGTATCATTTCTATGCTTGCGATAGCTTGTTATGCTAGAGCAGTGGTTAGCATTCGCGTGCGTTGTACGAGGTTATTATAGGCACATAGAAGTGTATGTGGCGTGTCCCATATTTCGTCTCTAGTTTCCGCGCGAGTCGTGGCTGGATGTGACAGGAAATGACGCTGTCAAATATCTCACGATGGGTGTCGATTTATTCGCTGGTGACGCAGTGTCAACGACGATTGTGAGTTGGTCGACTATACACTTGAGCGTGATTTCAATATGTCACGTATAAATATATATATATATATATATACATACTTATAATATATATATATATATATATATATATGCAGTTCAGCTGTACCAGGAAGCACGCAGCCTATCCCACCATCAGCTGCTTGTGTATGACGTAACGTTTACGCTAAATGTAGAAGCGCTGTGAATGGCCAGCACGTAGCGTTACGGGGCCAGCAAGGGGGAACCATGGGCAGCTATGCACGCACGAAAAGAACGCAGCACATAGTTGTAAAGCCTAGCGCAGACGTGCGATTTTTTCATGACAGCGATTCTAAAATCTGCAAAAATTGCTGTGAAATCGCCACGTCTGTGGGAATGTGCAACTGCAACCCGTAACGATTCTGGTCACTTGCGATGAGTTGCAAGAAATCAAACTTGTTTGATTTTGAGCGACTCGTCGCTCCCAATCGCTCGAATTGCTTCGAAATCGCATGTGTGCGCACACGCGGCTCCACATCGACCGATCGCTTGCCGTTGCAGGTTGCAGTGATGAACACAGGTCTGCGCTAGGCTTAAACATTTATTGCACTGATAACACAAATAAAATAGCACAGCAAGATGTAGCATCGTGCATGCATGCGCGGGTATAAACTCGACTGCTCTGCTGGTTTTGTTGTTGTTGTTGTTGTTGTTGTGGCTGCAGAGGAACCGCCAAGAGATTTTTTTGGAAAATATAATATATATATATATAAGCTGCTTAGCTGTTGTAGATAAAAACACGAGTTTCGTCGTTATCTTTATTGAGATTGTCAGCAGGGCGTGAGCGTGGCGTAGGACTCTAATGATAAAGCGAGTCGAAGGAGCGAATATCTCTTCCCGTCTGTCTACCACAGGCGCGTTTGTTTGGAACAAATCCATCTGATCAGAATCACTTGATCCAGATCGCCCCACACAAGCGCGAACTCACTTTCAACAGTTCGCGTTTCGCTGTGACCTATCACGGGATGGTTCCTAACAAAGAACAAGGAGGCGCGGGCCGCCATATTGGATCCCCTTCGAATCCACCTCGCTAGCAGGGTCAGGTTCGGTGGATCGAGATCCCTGGATCCGACCAAACAAACAGTCAGATCAACGAATCCATTGGATCGAGATCCGTGGATCCGACCAAACAAAACCGCCCCATGATGAGTCACACCATCCGTTGATGACTCACATAATTGGATACAAGAACGAAAATCGGGGTAGACTTCGGTAATTTCTGTGAAATGTCGGCAGTTAGAGTTACTGGCTTCGGTGGTGGTCTAGCGTAGGACATAACATTTGCAATGCGAGAAAGATGTGCTATTTTTTAATCCGACGAATTTATTGTCGTGTGCGAAATTTGACAGTTTAAAGGCTTATTAGCAATACTGGAATCTACATATATTACACATATAGTATACACAGAATTATCTGTGACGCCATCAATCGCGTTATCACCGTGACGTGATCTTTTCAATTATTGTTGCATGCGGTGCTCGAAAAAAACACCAGTGCCAGAATTATATGTGAAATCATTACATAGTAAAAACCAAAATTGCAATATGACTGAACGCACGCAGAGCAATTTACGTCCATAACAGCCCAAAATCTTACATCTAACTTACATACAATGACAGATTACATCAACTGACAATCACAATAACTAGTATAGATTTGTAGGCCTCATTTCCAAAATGTAGGGCATTATTTTCAGGCCTTGTGAGAATAACCACTTAAGCCTTCGTGCCGACAAATTGCTTTCGGCAAAACAGTAAAACAGTTGACGATTATATCAGTAATAGCTTCACCAATCGTTTATCGCTTTCATGTATCGACAATTGCAATCACTTTAACATTCTTACACAAAATATTTCCTGACAATATTATGCCACGATTATGAGTACGACGTGCATATATAGTAGTACGGCTTGCAAACGCAGATCGACAAAGGTAAAAGCAGAAATCTGTGAAGCTGTTAGTAATGTGTACGTAACCTCTTAATAGTAAATGTTTCTTTAGGAAATTATGCGAATAATTGTGTAAGTGTACGCGGTCTACCTTCATCAAACCCACAGCAGTCCTCACTTATCTTCTTTACGACAGATTAGCGGCGCCCCCTGGAGGGGAATCAGTTCCAAGCGTGGTTCTTGCAATGCTCCATGGCCTAAAAAGAACAAATGTAAGCATCCATCTATCACGTGCACCTCACTCAGGGGTCTTTTTACAAACTCAGCATGGTGTCTACATGCTCGGGTGTGCTTGTGTGGATATAGCTTTTATGTTGAATAATTGTTTTGTTTGGTACATATAATGTACAGTGATACAATTTGTAAAAAAAAAAAAAATGGGAAAGATCAATAAAATTTCCCCCTTTTTGGCGGGTCGGTCGGGTGAGGGCAAACAAACAATATTTCTATTATGGCCCAAACTTTTTTCTGGAAACATTACGGATGTCACGAGCGACTTACGTTGCATTCCTTTGCGTTGTCCTCGCTTGCGCACCAGTACGCCGGTCCGAACGTGCATTTCTTCTCTCCCAGCAGGTGGTGTTTGGGTTGATCCTGAACCTTGCACACTTGGAGTGCCTGTGGACGCAACGTGTTAGCCAGCGAGCCGTGCAGCCGTGATTTGCACGGTCAGTTTTGAAACTGCACGGCCAAAAATGTGTATCACGGCCTAACATATTGATCTAAAGCCGTGTACATTTGTAAAATTGCACTCCCAAATATTCCACTCATTTCTGGCTAATACCCTGTGTGGACGTCACACGAATACAAGCCGTTATAACTACTTCCCTGGAAAACTCTTGCTCAGCGCACGTCGGTAATTCACTTCATTCAATTCTATTCATTTTGTATTTCTTTCTCATTTGCGACATTTTGGTCGGGACCGGTGCGACTAAATGCGTTAAACCGTGGGAAAATAGGTACATATAGGAATACTGTGAGCGCCAACTGTGGTGTGTCAAAAAACTGCTGGTCACAACACTGGGAGCTGTCCCTCTACAGTACGGCTCAATTGGTAGAGTACTCGCCTCGCATGCGGAAGGTCGTGGGTTCAAAGGAGCTAAATATAACAAGGAGAGGAAGCGCCGCCATATCTGGCCCAAATTTGGTTCGGCAGAGACCCTAGAACAGATTAGTGTTCTATTGTCTCTGTGTTCAGTTGCCACCGCCGTTCAGCTGATTATGGTCCATAGATGGCGCCCTCGAGGGAAAAGCACACAGCCAATTCGCTTCCTCTCCTTGTTATATTTAGCTCCTTGGTGGGTTCGACGGCCGGGTCATACCAAAGACTTGAAAAATGGTACACACTGCTTCTCTGCTTAGTACTCAGCAAAACTAAATAGAGTGTGGAAACGGTGTCAAGAAGAAAGCCTTGTATGCGGCGGCCCCCGCCAGTGAAAACTGAGAGAATCTCTTCACTAGCCCACTAGGCCAGTAAGCCCAGTAGGGCACAAGAAATTTATATTACACTATGGCGTGCCTATGGAGCGCCCTCTATGTCGCGCTATGCTTACCGACAGACTTCCTCAGGCTTGGCTAGCTGAGCCAGAAGCTGGATGACGTAGGGTCCGTACGCCTCAATAAAGGTATCACACTGAAACATAAGAG